GATAATTGTAATACATCCTGAAGGCTTTGGACTGATTTGATATCTATAAAAGCCTCTGTGTCTAAGAATTATATTATAAGCCAGTGTCTTGTTTTATTTCCTCAGACATGTTGCTTCCTTCCTGTCTGTGTTCAAACTGCTGGTGATTGGGCTGATTATTATCGGCAGGGACCCATTCGCCCTCTTCGGTATGCAAGCCCCAGGCATCTGGGAGTGGGGCCAGGGAAACAAGGTAAGGTTTACTATGGAAGTCATTATTGCTCAGATCCTACGGGAGAGTGTGCACTGTGGTCTTCATGTGTGGCAGCGGGATGTAGTCAGGATTGTTTCTACGATGCAGCCAAGCATTTGTTTTGCATGTAATCACCGTTGATATCGCAAAGAGGCATGGATTGAATCTAGAAAGGAGGAAAAGAGGGCTTTAGTTCTGGCTGTGTCTCAAATACGGTTGTGTACATGCACACTGCCAAGTTCAACCCCAGCCCATGGGATTTCATTAGCTGTTCATTCAGGGTCTTCGGGTTGTGTTGTTTTGTTTTGCTTGGATTTGTTATCCCCAGTGTTACAGGCATGCCAGAGGCTCAGAGGAAGAATGGCCAGTGACTGCTAACATCAGATATTAGCAAATAAAACAATCTTGTGTTCAACAGAAAGCTGAGGCTGATAAAATGTGATGTGGTCTCGGTAGTCAAATGGATTACAAACAGAAAACCCTGCAATTGCGCACAGAATAGATAAAAAGACCCAGCAAGCATTTGGTGTGGATTTACTTTGCTAATAAATTAGCTTTTTTATCGCAGCTACAATTTGACCAATAACAGAACTAGCCTGAGGGTCTCCTGCTTTGTGGGTGTATTTAAAACTGCTGTAGGTAAATTTTCAAGATGATTTCTGTAATATTTTGTTAAACTGTCTTTTACAGCCTGACAGTTATCAATAAATCAAATGACCTGAGAAACTTAAGTGGGGCAGGCAGTATTCATCCCTTGATATATCAGTTGGGCTGCAATAATAAGTAACCTGTGCAAGCTCAGATGTCTGTGGGTCAACCCATAGTCTGAGTGGGCGGAAGTTCGCTGCATAGATCAGCCTCTCATTGGGCGGAACGAGCCACCCGCTGAAGTCCCGCCAATCTTAAAGTGAGAGTCGGCCCAGCCAGACCTTTCTTTTCTTGAGAAAGGTCTGGTGAGCGAGACTAGTCAACCCACAACCTGCAGGTCAGATGGCTTAAGCTTAGTTCACATTACAAGATATTCACCCCGCAAAATGCGTCGTGGAGACTATCGTAATCTTTTGAGTGTTCATACCTGGCGACGTGTGTTTCTGTCACAGGGAGTCTCGCCAACTGCGTTACAACCTGTGTGTGCACACCACAAGATTTCTCCACGAGCCGCCGCTGACAGAGCCCCAGATATCGCCGTGACGTCACCAAATTTGTTTTTTAACTTGGAGACGACACATCGTAAAGGCATGGACATTCCTCCCAGTGTTGAATCAGATCTGCCTCCAGGGCCTGGGTCCAAACACAACACACTCCCCATGATCCTCTGGACGCCGCCATTGTTGTTGTTGCTTGCCAGCTTGTCAGTGTTGCCAGATCTTGGGAGAGAAACAAGCAACCAGGGCTATGGAAACAAGCCCAAAAGAAGCGACGGATATATATTAGAGAAAGGCGACGTTTAGAGAGCAAGCCCAAATAAGCAACTCCACTTCAGAAACAAGCCCAAAAAAACGCGACCCGTGACTACCAATATTTGTAAGCAACAAAAAAACAAGCCCAAAGTCGTGGCTAATAAGCGGACTTGGGGGGGCAACTTGCTCGTAGGCTTGTTCACACATGAGGACTCGTCGTGGCAGACTGTCTGCCAACTCACCTCCGACCCAAGGTGGCTCTCAAGATCCTCTGCGATGTCAAAATCGAGATGAAAATCATGTAATGTGAACTAGGCTTAAGGTAAGCTTGTTAGAAAATTTTGCAAGCGTCAGGCGGATGGGTCATTCAATAACAAACCATGAATAATTAATTAATTATTAATAACCTACAGAATCATTGAGGAATAGTCAACCTTTCACCCTCTCTTCCCTCTTTATGTCTCTCTCAAACACACATACAACAAGCTCAGGGTTTCCGTTATCCATTTTTTAACCAGGACAATTTGTTAAAGTCTGACTTATTTTAATTTCTACAGTCATAATGCCTGGTAAAAGTATTTCCCTCTGAGAATATGTAGGCCTAACACCCTGTCAGCAAACATACTTCTGTCCACAATGAATCTGTTAAACATGCACTTCTGTTGCATCATGTAAACAAACCAGGTAGGATATCAGCCGTGTGTTTGACATCATACTTGCGACATAACCACTTAAAAGATGGGTGAGCACTTGCTGTCTCCCAGTGTTTATCCTTTTTTAAACAAAAAACACGTTTTTATAGCGTCATATTTACTGGAATTGACACACAATAGTCAACAGCAAGTAGGTTGTTATTAGCAATGATCTTAACCAGAAACTTAACTTTCAGCTCTGGTCTGCGGGTTTGTGGGTCAAGCTTAGGTCAGTAATTAATGCATATGTTTGTGGGTCAGGTGGGCCAGGTTGGTGCGGGTTAAAAAGAAAGAAACCTGACTCACCCATCACTACTGTAACGTGTTTGTTGCAGCACTGGCAAATCCTGACATAAAAAACAAACATTTTGCATGTAACTCTTCAGCGGAACTACCAGATTTGTATTGACCAAAAATGCACATGGTTTGTCAGCTATGCGTAAACCTCATCTGGAGTTGCTGCTCATCACTCCAAAGTGTTAATCTGATAGTATACTGTAGCACCGCATTCATCCTGTGGTCTTGGTGTTTCTGTTTTTGCAATCCTTAAACAGTGTCTTTTCAGTGCACTGCTCTTGTGATCCATCACGAGCATGATGCCAAATTTAAACTGCAAACGTAACTGCTAGTAAATGTGGGAAAAGGATTTGTGCAGAACGTTTTAACCCAAGTTTCTCTCCTGCTTCTTCCAGATATATGCCTGCATGATGGTGTTCTTCCTCAGCAATATGATTGAAAACCAGTTAATGTCCACAGGAGCTTTTGAAATCACATTAAATGGTGAGTCTTTGATTCACAGCATGGGCTTGTTGACTGGCTTCAGATTGATTTGAGTCTTTGTGACATAATGATATTAATGCAGTTGTGTGGTGATGGAACAGAACACAGTGTATTACAGTTACGTAATTGTCTCTTCATAGATGTGCCAGTGTGGTCCAAACTAGAGTCAGGTCACCTGCCCTCCATGCAGCAGCTCGTGCAAATCCTGGACAATGAGATGAAGATGAATGTTCACATGAACACAGGGCCACACCACCACTCCTAACCCTACTCATCACATCCTGGCTGGAGTTAAAAGCCCCTCCATGTAAGCACAGTAGTGTTCACTGCACTGTTTGTTTCTATTCTGTCTTTTGGCCAGTGGAGATATATATGGAGATGTTTTAATTTGATCTTCTTTCTCCTCTTCCTGTGTAGGTTTGAGGTGGGTTTCTCACTGGGCTGTGAAGTGATGTTTATGAAGGTCTGCGCTGAAGGCAGGAAGACTGCTAGCACAGACTAGATGCTCCCATCAGTCTTCACCATGCCCCTTAGAGACATCCCGCCCCTGACGCCAGAGTGGGATCCATTGCAACAGTGCCGGCCATTCTGTCATTTTCTTGTACTATTCATAACTACTGCAGATTTCATCCAGATGATATCAGTGGTCCTGTAAGGAGAGATCTAACATCGATTCATAGAGTCTTTAACTTGTTGCATATAATTGATCTATGTGAATTAAAAAAAAATTGTGTCATTTGTACCACTGAGCCACCCATAGAATTTTAAGTTCATTGTTCTAAAAGTAGCTTAGGCATGTAGAAAATGCAACACTTAAAAACCTGTCATCACTGTTGTGAAAATAACATTGGGGAATTGTGTCTTGGTATGATTTCTGAATAATTTTTATATTTGCATAACTTGAAGGAAGCTCAGAAGATTAATAAAACATATTGTAACTATTTAACTGCGAGGCTCTGGTGTGGTGTTGTGGTTCACTGATTCATGGGGAGTCAGGTGTTGACAGAAATGACATCGTGAGTGGAGATGGTGGATTGCCATCAAGGTTTAAAACATAAAGGGAACCTGATAAGAAAGCAGGAAATGGAGCTCCTTTTTTTTTTTTTCTTCATAAAGCAGACTTCTTGCTTGATTCAGGTCATGAGCGCACATCCTTGAGCCATCTGCTCAGCCTAATCCAATTAGGAAGACTTGATGATCCACAGAGTTCATTAGAAGACAAAACAGATCAAGTGTGAGTACAATGTGGTGATGTCACAGTGCAAACGTCCCTGACAATGAAAAATCCCTTCATTATGACAGGGTTCCTGTAAGTCCTTGAAGTCCTTTACTGTTTGTGATCTTGAGTGACCAAAATCAAGGCCTTAAAGGTTTGTTAAAATGGACATTGCAAGTGTTTGAGTTATATATTTTATGCAAGAATACCATTTCTTAGGTGTGTTGTTAGAAAAGTCAAGAGATTACACAGTGTGCCATCTCTGTATCACAACACATTTGACAAGTGTTAACACGCTCAAGCCTGTCTCTGTCTTAACTTGTCTGTGAGCTTCTATAGAGCCTGTTAGTTCTCATGAAAATTCAGTAATTGACCTTGATCTGTGTCTCAGACTCTGCTGTGTTGGGTCCTTAACTTTGAGAGAAATGGGTGTTTGTTAGTAGCAACTGAAAAAAAATTGGGAGATTAAAGGACGTGAAGGAAAACCAGTGACCCAGATTCGCTATAGAGACATTCATTGAGTTATTTAGAGGTGGTTTTGGGGTTTAATCTTTTCTATGACCCCCAGATATGTAAATGCCATATTATTTTTGTCCCTGACATTCCATTTAGTTACTGTGGAACGAAAGAATAAAACACCCAAATCACAGTTAAACAAGTTTAACATTTATTAGCCACTGCTGTCACTGTGTCAGTGTAGTTAGCCAGTGCATTTAAGACAGTCCTGAAGGCACCTATAGATGAAGGCTCTTTCACTCTCACTCATCATCACATTAGCACTGACTTCCAGAAGACTCTGGGCGACACCATGGAGGTGAGGGGCTTGTGTAGTCTTCAGCAGCCGGGGATGGGAGGGCGTCATCAGGCACTGGCGGAGATGCTTAATGGCCAGGTTGATCCTGATCCTGGCTGCATACACAAACAGCTCCTCCTTCAGTACAGGAGGTCCTGAAGCAGCCGTGTTTGTTTTACATTCAGCCTGGAGGGGAGAAAAATTTACTGAAAAAGTTACCGAAGCAGAGCTGGAAATACTGGAAACTGCAAGATGAACAGAAAAGCTTCAAACAATGCTTCACCTGAGCGCAGCAGGTGCCCACACTGAACTTAACCTGTTGACCTTTCGCCAGGAAGGAGACAAACACTTTTTCCTTCCCGAGGACTCGGACCCCAACGCTTTTGTTGAAGGACAGGAATATAGGTTGTAAGGGAGTGGGAGTGAGGCTCAGGCTGCCCCAGCTCCACCGACGAACCCTGGCACCCGTCTCATCCAAACACTGACCGCCTGAACTGTTGAAGGTCAGCCTGCAACATAAACACAACCATGCATCACATATTATAGGTAACAGCAAGCATGGCTACAGATAAGACATTATGTTATGAAACTGTGGATGCATCCTTTGTCATTTAAATTCACCTAAAGCAATCTATACTTTAAATATATTCCAAACACTTTTCTTTGTACCATATATTTCCATTGCTGTGATAACATGTCGCCCTGCCATCGGACTGGAACAGCGCTCTAATCGGTTGACAGGAGGCATCACTGTCTTCATACACGATGCAGACCCTTCCATTTTCTTCAGTGACCACGACAACGAGAGCCAGGAGGCCTGAGGGATAGCTGTTACCATGACGATAAGGAGGGGAACACCCACTGCACAGTGCATGTTGCCTTGCACATATTAAATTCTCTCTGAAAACATGATATAAATCTACAAGCACTGAACTGTGAGCGGATACAAGACCTGAGCAGAGCCATCAGGGAACACAGTGAGAAATTTCATCCCACTGGGATAATACTTCTGCAGAAATTCTGCCCCAGCCTGTGAACATAGAAGACAAAAGATGTTCATAACAGAAAGCCTCCATTATAAAATAACTGTGTGGAAAATGTGGGCAGTTAGTAGGCACAAGGAGCCTGATCTAAACTATGAGCTATAAATCAGGAGGATATCTCTGCCTCTGCTGCTTTTGACTTCTTTCTTTTTAAAACTGCCTCATGCCCCCCTTCTTCATGGAAGTACAATACTATTAGATGTGTTGCTATTTTAGGACAATGTTGGGGTAACCCTTTAATAGCAACAAATGTTCGTTATAATTAAAAAATAGCCTATTTACAATAGCAAATAGCTTACATTTATATTTACCAGCTGTTCCATGGTTTATTGCATTGATCAAACACAGTGTGACCACAAGGGGGCAGTGTATATATTTATGTGCACAGATTAATATAAAGCATTTATAGACTTCTTTGGCTTCTAATTAAAGACATGATGATTATGTGCCTAGGCCAACTACTTGCAGCATGACTTGTTTGAAATAATTTTGGATGGAAAAAAGAAGACTACAACAAAAGAAAGAAAGAAAGAAAAAGAAAGAAAGAAAGAAAGAAAGACAGAAAGAAAGAAATTCTTAAGGATATAATGGAGAAATTGACTGTTTTCTTAAAAGCTGCAAGTAAGCAGTTTGGATACTTCAGTGCCACTGAACTTGGCTACGGGACTTTTTTTTAGGATATAAATAATGTATTGATCTATCTATATTGTAAAATTGTATGTTTAAATATGCAAATGATGCATTACCTTGTTAAGTATGCACTAATTTGCATACATTTTCAAGACAAATCTGAACATTGCAGGTTCAAAATTCTTGTTTCATGTTTTTAGGAATAAAATGTTATACAAATCAGGCTATGAATGATGTATGAAAAAAAAAAACCACTGTAAAAGCCTTCAGAACACAGCAGGTGAATATGTTAAACTTTTAACCAATAAATATCACCATGAAATTTCCCCAGCTGATTACTTAAATTAGACAAATATTTATGGTTGTTTTTTTTTTGTTTAAAATGCAAATGAGGTATTGTCTAATTACTAACCTAACTTATTCGTCCTTACACTACTCTTGCATGTATAATTAACATAGGATGCACATATTGTACATATGTCTTATCCCTATCTTTCTATCTATATTTCTAAAAACTTAACAATTAGCTTTATACGTTGTGGCACAATGCACATATTTTATATTCTTAAATACATTATATACCAGTGTTAAACACTGTAGCATTATGCAAATACTGTATTTTTATGCACTTCCTATTTTCATATTCTTACTTCTGCTTTCTTATAATTTTTATATCAGAGCGACTGTTACTTATTACGTATCATTTCCCCCAAGAGCTCATTTACGTATTTCTATTTCTGATAACCTTTTGCACATATTTCCAGAGCAGAAATGTGAACTAAAACAAACTTTCCACTAGTCTGACTTCTGTGTTACAGAAGTAAAATACCATCTGTGTACAGGGTCATCAGTTTGGATAACATCAATAAGATGCACTTAGTATTGACTTTGATAAAACAAACATGATAGTAATTTGTGAGTACCTGATGATGACATATGCCGAATTTAAGTGACTTGTGGTCACAAAAAGGGATCAACGGCTGCTCCTCTTCCTCTTTTGTTTTCAATTGCTTCTCAGTTGTGCCACAGGGATACACTGTCCAGCATCCTTTTCCTAGAGCACAGGAGAGCCGGAAGCTGAGCACCTTTGATGTTGGTGCAACTAAACACAAGAAGAGAACAAAGTTAGTCTCACAAAGCTATTTGAAGGCACAATTGTTTCGTTTCTTTCCAATAATCTTAAGAAAAAACATAGATAACTTTATACACACTATTTGTCAGCTCATGTTTGACTGGATGAACACATTTAAAGCTATGAATGAGTACAGTACTCACTTGTTTCTGCCACAGGTAGCTGGAGTGAGTAATCCTCATAGACTCTCTGTTCTGATTGTTCTCTGATGAAGGATACAGATTACATCGCTCTTGGTTTAAAGTTTTACTTTTATATCATTTTATATTAAAAAAACAGAGACATATTGTGATGCACATTTGTACCCGAGTCCTTGTGGCAAGTCCATGATGAACTTGTTGTGGTCCTCCATCGCCTTGCCTTGGAGGACAAGCTCCTCTGTCTCTGTGGCTGGCTTGTCTATGGGCGATGTCATGGTCCTCGGGTCACACCTCCCCTCAGCCAAACATCTCTCCTTCATCAGCATCTCATACAGCCACTGCCGCCGGGTACAACAGAAGAGTGGACCTGACTAGGATGGACACAAAAGAGGATGCAAGGAGGTCAGCAGTGCGTCATATACACACATTTGGAGAATGTATTCACTTCCTTCCTCACCTCAGGCCCCTGTGCCCACGTTAGATCCAGTGAAGGTCGGGCCTTTTCTCCACAGTACTCACATTTCACTTCACTTTCAGTCACAAGCTGGGACAACAAAGTGTTAAATTGGACTAATAAGCAACACAGACTGCTGCAGAAGGGAATTTAGAACAGTGGGTAGTAATGTGATCTTTTTACCTCTGGTAGAGTGGTTGTTAAGTTCATCCTGTGGTTGTCAGACTCCCGATTGTACCTCAGAACTCCTGCTGCTCTGATACAATAGGTGGGCGGGTCACTGACAGACTGCGGACAGCCCTCTGATATCATCTTACCAAACCCAGAGAAAAATAAAGTAAACAAGTAATTCATCAAAGACTTAAATAAATGAGGTATTTATTGATTTAAAGCAGTTGAAATAAAGGAAAATAGACTTCTTACGAGGTCATCCACGGCAGATAGTGGCTCAAGGAGATGATGCTCTGATGTAGCAGCAGCAGCATCTAATGGTAAAACAAATCTGTGGCATCATTGGATTATGTCCCATTAAGAGAAGTCAACACAGGCCTGAATAAGACAGGATCTTTTCCTAGGTTGTCGTTTCTAATAGTTTATTTTTAATTGTGCCTGAAGCAGACTCACAGGAGGAGCTGGACCTCATCTTGTTGTCTGTCCTTCTGACTGGAGTAAAGCCATTGAAGAGCCATGAAGACTGAAGAGCCATGAAGATGAATATATACAGTGGACGCATTAGGACGCAATTAAAAACACATCAAGCTGCACAACCACAAAAAAGCAATAAAATCAGTACACACATGTGGTGCACTTACCTCAATATGTCACACTTGCTGGTGTTGTCAGTAACCATGGAGATGAAATAGCAATGTGTTAATGTAATGCCTAATTTTGGCCACTGCCTGACTGGTTTCTTATGCCCACAAATATTTAACAATTACATTATACACTTTAACACCGTCACAGTGCTAACTGTTTACTCTGTCTACTCTCTCGGCAGAAGAGATGTAAACTTTATGTCAAGGCTTCAGTTTAAAAAAATACATGTTCAGATCTTATTAGCATGAATCTAGGTTTATTTTTGAACATAAATTAGAGTCTATATGTGTGAGATTAGTAAGTTGAGTGTGAAGGTTTGACTTTCATTTCTAAATTTTGCAAAATATCAAAATCAGATTTTTCTTTAAGGGACCTCCCTTCTATCATTGACCCCTGACCCCTGACTAAGTGACGTATTTCATGGATATTTCACATTATATTCAAAGCATAACAATAACAGTACAGAGCAACTGATAAACTACACAAAATGTGTGCATAAAACAATTTGACATGATTATTTCCTGAATATTGCATCAGAGATGAGTTTACTTGTTTTAAGGAACTTTAATACAATTTTCTGTCCGTATTATGTTTTTTGTTTTTTTGTTTGCTTGTTTTTTATGATCATGAATACTAATCAGGGTGTCTACAGATATAGTTAAATTTAACACTTTTTAAGACCTGTTTAATACCACTACTAATGTCAGTTCAAAATGAACAGTAAGGAAAAGTTTAATGTGTTTAATGTAAAAAGAAAAGAAAATATCATCACTGTCATAGATTCTATTTATTATTGCAGTTCTTCAGTCTGTCCAATGATTGTCATCAGTCATCAGGCTGGAGAAATTTTCACAGTAATGTGACCAAAAATATTTCAGACCCTGTTAACAGGTTGCTCTTTGACTGTTTTAACTTAAGAAATATCAATTTCATTAAGTTTTCTTTAAAGGAATGAAGATTTGAATGAAGAGGAGATTAAGGCAAAGTGTGGAAAGTGTTTTGTTAGGTTGTTTTTAAGTTGGGTTACACCCTTTAAAATCTAGAAGGCCTCGTGATAACCCCCTGAAACTTTGGCAACCCCTAGTGGGGATCAGGACCCCCAGTTTGGGAGCCAGTGTTTTAGTGGATTTGGAGAGAATAAATGACAAAACAATCTCACCTCAGTGTCCAATTAGAAGTTTTAATAGCTTTTAGATTTTGTTTTCTAGAGCTCCCTCTGTGGATGGAGTTTACCCTGTACATGTTCAAATTTCCATTTTTCTCCCCTGAGTATTTGTTTGCTCAAAAGTTGGACTTCATATCACATTATCCTCACCATAGGTCAAGAATGAACATTGAAGCCCTACTAAGTATGTGAACAGCATCTATGGCAGGTTTAAAAGGCGCATTTTGAAATTTTCTGAGTTTTGAAGTTAAAGTTTAATGTGCTTTTTTTACTCCCTGTGTCACATGCAAAGCACAATTTCTCCACAAGATGGCAGAATGGTTGTGAATTTTTTTCCTGTGTTAGTTATGTGAGTCAGAGTGAGCACCTTTTGATATTGTACTTTTATTTTTATTATTTATGAATTAACTTAATACATGGTTGACCAGACCAGATGTCTGGTTTTGAAGTGAATAAGCAAAAACACTGACATTGAACTCTTGTAGTAACCAGCTCACCCCTCCAGCCTTGCTGTCTGGTGACCTTTTGGCATCACAGATGGAACCAATGCCAGCTAATCAGAGAACAATCAATCAGCACACCTGTCGCAGCTTCTGATTGGCTGTTGCTGTTCTGCATGCAGTGGAGCCTGCAACACAAAAAGCTGCAGCAGAGCAGAATCTCTCAGTTCTTAACATTTCCAGGACTCATGTGTACTGAGATGATGCATAAAGGAGAGAGGAAAAGTTCTGCTGTTTACTTGGCTTCAGCTGTTATTCTGATGTGTTATTTAGTGCAAACAATAGACTGCTATCGACTGAGGAAAACAGAACGACGAGAGGGGCGAAGAGAAGCTGACGCAGCCCAAACAGCAGCTGTCCAAGAGGGGAAAATCTTGTTCGGGTCAGGCCTTGGGTCACATGCAGATAGGAACAAGAAGTCATCCTCAAACACCTCTGTGGATGATGAAGCTGCTTATCAAGCGGACTCTGCAGGTAAAAATCTGACTTCTTTTTGTCCTGGGAATCTCGAAGTGCTGTTATAGTACCACTAACCAATGTTCCCTTTCAGGCTGGTCGAAAGGACAAGTATATGACCCCAGTCCCAAAGAAGCATCATTTAAGCGCATGGCACCTTCCCTGCAGTGTGGGCCAGACCAGATGAAGTTTAGAGCAGTGGGCCCAGGAGCTACACAGTTTGCAGTGGAACAAGGTGAATTTATTTACACCCATTAACTAATGTCTACTCAAACTGTACAATGTAGGCATTTGCACCAAAAATTGTGTAGTGACATTGAGAACTTCTCCCCCACAGTAAACGCAGCTCCGATGCCTCTGTCCCAAGTCCCCTCCACCTGTGGCTACAACATGCAGAGGAACCTGCTTGGGCTTGTTTTGTTGGTTCCCTATGATGGCTGCAACATGGTGCAAGAGGTAAGCTGTGTAATGAAAGATATTGCACCTTCAGAATGAGCAAGAGCTGACAATCAGTGGCTTATTCTGACAAAACACCTGGACTAACCAAGAGCTTAAATTTGACAAAGCATAAAATTTAGGAAGTGATTTGTTTCATTAGTTTAATCTTAATTCTTTATTAGTCCTTTTTTAGACTATACCCGTATAGACTAAGAGTAAATGACAAAGCAAATCTGGACTAATTGATAATGAAAATAGTGTTAGCTTGAATTGGTTTGTGTCTAACTTTTGTTTTCTCCTAAGGGTGGAAATTATATGCTCCCAATGCGTTGGCAGGGAACTCCAGTCTCACTCATGTGTCCCAAACCTGCAGCACCTGCTGCCACAACTGCTGCCCCTCATCACCCTGCCCCTCATCACCCTGCCCCTCAGGTGCCTCAAATTCCCCATTACTTTCCACCCTACATGTATCCTAAATACCCCGTAGTACCAAAACCTACGACGGCAACGACCACAACAACTGCAAAGAAACCACAAGTTCCTCAATACCCGTTCTACCCTCCATTTTACCCCTATCCCCAACCTGTTCCCGTCACAACAGCAGTGCCCACCACCACCACTGCAAAGCCAGCAGCAGACACGTTTCCTCCACCGATGTATCCTTTTCCTTTCTACCCTTCTTTTCCTTGGCCCTTTCCAGGGCCTCTGCCAGCAACCCCGAAACCCACGACAACTACAACAAAGGCGCCAACTAAACCCCTGATACCGCCGTTCCCACCATACCTGCCTTTCTATCCTCCATTTAATCCTTTTTACCCTCCCTTTATGCCTCCCTATCCCAACTTTCCAACCCCTAAGCCCACAACAACGACACCTGAAACGACAACCAAGAAGAAGGACCCAACACCGCACCCTCATATTCATCCGCATGTCCATTATCCATATCCATTTCCTCCTGCTCCTTTCCCCATTTCAGGCTAGTCTGCTGAAACAGTTCTAATAAATGGTTTGAACAATAAGTGACCCTGTCCAATTGTTTAACCTGCAAACTTAGAGAAATTCAACTGTGGGGGGAGGACTTTGGTACCCTTTATTCTAAGCTTATGAAGTGGATGAGGTAAGTGGTCCATAAATAGTTAGTACATTTGATTAGAGGCTCTTTGGAAAGTAAAGTGGTGCATTTGACAAATGTGAGACATTGGTTAAAATTGTCAACAATCTAAGCACAAATCTTCTTTGTGCAAAAATGCATACTTTTTCCAGCATCTTCAAAATGAGTTTCTTTGCATCTAAAATCCTGTTAATTTTCAATAAGTGACCTTTTCATTACAGATCACTTATGGTAAACTTGGACTCAAATGTCATTCCCTGGTAAGTCCTCAGGTGCAGAAAGGATCAACTTTTTTCATATCAAAAGGCTGGTTAGCTGGATTATTTGACTATTTAAAATGTACATAAGCTGATAGTAATAGACTATTTTTAAATTGGATTAAAATGCACTTTAGGCTTATTGTGGTTCTTTATGCCAGTACAAGATGGCAAAATAACAATTATACAACAGTTAGTTCCGGCCCTGCAATCTGATTGGTCGAGAGACAGTAAAACCGTGACGATATTGGAGTACAACATCACGGTTATTTCACTGTATGTATCACTCCGCCTCACAGCTGATTGCAATCAACAAATCAAAACTGACGGTTAGTGTCAGTTAGGTCAGCAGTTGCGTTGTAGGCTACTTAATTCATCCACTGTCAAACAGCCAAAAATATGGATTTATTTCCTAAAATAAGTTTTGAATTGAACTATGGTCATCAGGAAGATGGAGAGGAGAAGCTGAATCCATCTGAGCACACATCTAGGTTTGTCAGTGTTTCATCAGCAGAGCTCAATGATTTGGAGAAAAGCGACATACTGTCAGATCAGAAGGCAGAGTCAGCTGTGCCTGTGAAGCGACAGTCCTCCATACAGTCACCAGAGACTTATTTCACCGGCTGCACAATTAATGGAAATGTGCAGATAAATGTGTATAAAGAGTAAGTGCCTGGCGCACCATGTCTGCGTTACATAGCAACGGTGACAGTGGAGTCCTGAGGGAACTATTTTTGTTGGCGGAAGACGAATAAAATGCTTAAATTATCTATTTTGTCCTCATTTTTCAACATTTCTTAATCAGCCTTGCTTATTTAACTGAACTGTTGTATAAAAGCAATATCACACTCGAGCTCGTGACGTTGTACTGTGATATCATCACGGCTGTGATTCGGTCGTAGGCACTCGGCCTGTGGCCAAGTGCCGAAAACAATCACAGC